GTCACCAGCATTATAGGGGACATACGCTGACTCTGACAGCCAGATAGCTACAGATATATTTGTATGCATTGGTAACGCGTCCTCGAGAATTACCTACCGATTGCGGAGTCTGCCCGGCCCGTGTCACAGATCTATATGTAGATGGTATTATTATTGGTATAATGCCTCTATTGCGTTCTGAGATCCCCGGAATCAGGTCATGAATACCTATTACCCAGAAACAATCTACGTTATATACACGGAGCCACAGTTTACCGATGTCGAATTGTCTGTAATTGTAAAACCAATTCCTTTCTGTAATGTTGTGAAAGATTTTCTTGAAAAAAAGCAACAATGGACTTGCTGTTATGATTGTCCGTGTATAGGTCTGATCGACAGCTCGGCAGCTTTACTTCAGTTTCAGAATAAAATAGAAACAAAAATAAATTCAAAAAATTCAAGTGGCACATTGTACAAAGTGTTTATCCTCAAGTTAAATTCAGAGAAACTGGAAAAAACATATGAAGACAAAAAACTAAAGAAAAGATAAATAAAAGGAGATGTTTTAAAATAAGATAATTTATATTGACGGTACATTTTGAAGTTTATAATTCTTTGAAGATAAGATGATTTGTTTTGAATAACTACATACAAATTGTGTATAATAGGTTTTATGTAGAGATTATTTTCATAGGCAAACCTTGTTTTGGTTCCTGTGGAATCGTGACTAAAATCCCAGTCGTATCCTAGGTAACGCAATGGTGGGCATATACACACCAGTAAAGGAGATTAGTCATTTATTGAAATCTTGGAATATGCAGGTTAAATTTGTTTGCAGCTACGAAAAAAATCTTGAAAAGTATTTTAAATCAATTGTTGTGTAATTATTTTCACAATATTTTTTTTTTAACACGATATATTTACACGCTGAGATTTGGGACCTGAATACCACAACTCTCTGTACAAATTCGGGCGTACAATAGGACGAACCGATTTTTCCAATTTTCAGAACAGAGAGAACAGTTGTTATAACCCTGTAAAATTATGCATATAAAATCCTTAACATCTACACATTTATAAAACAATTCACTTCGATTTCCATCGCTCTTTTATAATTACAAATTAATTTGAAGGCATATAAAACAACATATTCAAATTAACACATACATGTTTGTAGAACGTACAGGTCAGTTTGATACCAACTTCTACTTTTAGCAAACCTACTCTGCTCAATTCTGATGATTGTTTATCATATTCCCCAATATAAGTGAAATACCTGTACTCTAGGCCAATACAGTGGTCTCTGTTTACACATAGCATCACATTGACCTCTACTGTACACCATATCATCTGGATTGATAGTTAAACAAGAAATACTCAATAAAACTATCACATACTTTCCGTATGAATTAGTAATAAATTCACATTTAATGTCCCGCAATTCTCGTCACAATCAATTACAGTGTTATTTAGGGTCTAGACTGTTTGTCAAAAATATGCATACATACTAATACTTTAAACATTTTTGAATATTAGGTCTTTGAAATATCTAAATCATCATCACTATTAAATCAATATCACTTTTCATGTGGAGAGAAAACATTGCTTTTATCTATTCCATCAAATTTATACATACAGGTAGGGATGTATATCAATCAGGTACGCTTGTATATCAATCAGTGATACGATTATGCAGGTCATTGATTATATTAACAGTGTAAGTTAGTGATGGTCAGGGAGTCGTAAAAACTTCTCATTCTGGGACAAAACAATATCACACTAGTGTATTGAATATAAAAACATCACGTGTCGCCGGGTTATAGTGATGAATGTTTTTTTCGGTTCTTAATGGACGAAAATTCATAATAGTAAATGTTGTATTATACGGCTGGTATATCCCATAATTTATAGGGAGGTGAAATTGGGGTCAAGTCGTCTGAAACGTTTATGTTAAATCCGAGGATTATTTATCTTTGAAAAATATACCAGGTTTTAGAAACAAACGTCCCACTGACTGTGCAAACTCGGATATAAACCGAAAATGTAAACATTTAGATAACACATTATGATTGTCATTCCGAGACATTGTTTGTAAGTTTTGGCTATTTAGTAACGTAACTTTAAAAACATATCTTAAGAAAAGAATATTTATAAATGATCTTATTTTTTTGATGAAATAGGATAACATATTAGATTTGTATGTCTTATATTTGATAAATATATTGGTCGTTAATCTAAAAAAAAGTTATCAAATTCTTCCTTTGTAATCGGGATGCAATGTAAATAATTTTGAAAACAAAGAACAACACAATCTGGTCCAGAATATAGAATAAAGCCCCATGTCTCCCGGACAATACCCCTTCTTGGGCCCCAATAACGTACGCTGAATATTAATGAGGACTTGAATAGCCATTAAATTTGTATAATACAGAGTAATTAATCATTATGGCTTTCTAACAACCCAAGCCGCCGCCGGACCGGAATGGTTGAGCGCGCCGTAATGGGAATATTCTAATGACGTATGTATAATAATATCAATAAATGACAGGTTTACATAAAATATTATGATTGATAAATGAGAGTTTTTACCCCTCGATAATATATACAGACTTTCATGTTTATAGATAACAGCGTCTTTATATAAACATAGAGCCACTGATTACGTCGTGCAGGGCAGGCAGTGGGTACGTTTATAGGGTTGAGTTAGAGATTCTATTACGATGTGTGGGTTATCAGGTTCGCTTTATAACTATAACTGGTTCACGCTGCACAAACAATTCTCAACAGGTTTCGCATATGAACTTGACCATGTTCCTGACTTGAGGTAGTTTGGTGTATAAGGTATGGTTTGTGCTATGAACAGGACGTTATTCCTGCTATTAACCAGAAATTGTTCAGGTTGTTATTAAGCAGACATCATTCTTGCTATTAACCGGGCCGTATTCTTGTTATTAACCGGGCCGTATTGACGCTATCATTGTGACAATATTAGATGCGAATTTTAATATTCAATGGTCTAAGATGTTGAGTTACGTCATATTCAACAGCCTAAACAAAGTAAGCTTCCCATTGTGTTTCCACAAATATATGATATAGCTTAAATACAAAAGAAAAACAAGCACATAATAAAAAGTACATAAAAACAGGAGAAGCGTGTACAGCAAAGATAATCGTGGACATAGAAATGCACAACTTCTATTGTAGTAAAAAATGTAAACCATACACGTCAATAAGGAGAAAAAATCGTCAAGCATATTAGTTGTGGACAATAATTTTTGTTTAAACACCGTTGAGTTGTGTACTATAAGCCGAACTGTGATGTGAGCCTACTTTTTGATGGTTGTATTAGATATCCTCAAAATACTCCACAATGGTGAGTTGAGTAGAACTTTGTCCCTTTTGAAGGGTACTTTACCCGTGCCGGTTGGTCTGTGTTAGCCGGGTCAGCCATTAGATTTTACCTCATTCACCCCTGAAATTTCATAATGAACTATTCCAACCTTTAAATTGGAAGAGTTCAAAGGTGTCTTTAGGGGTAAATCAGTAAATAACAGCTTGGGATGTTTACTCTAGTCTCCTGTTGCTAGACTGAAAACAAGCCGTCTTTTATAACAGATTTCTGTACATTCAGACAGAATTGTATAGAAAATTAATCCAATTTAAAAGACATTTTAACTTGTTTATGATTTAACAAATAAAACAGTTGTTCAAACCAACTTCGAAATGAATTTTCGGCTCCCTATTTACTTATATCGCTTAATAAGTTGTTTTTAATGAAAATAATTTGCAATATTCGGACAATTTTAGAACAAATTGTGAGTTATGTAGATATAGGTCCTAGACCTTTTCATTCATAAATAAATGTTAGGAGGTTAGGATTTATTTGATATTGAAATTGTGCATATTTCTAAAAGTAGTGACACCTACATACTTCAGACAAACTAGAAGGTCATTAATCTTATTTTACAAAAGTATGACAATTTTTTGTTAATCATCTATGATCTATGATGCCCTTTCTTATTTTAAAACCCATTTTACCTAGCGCACCTGCCTGTGTTCGTTTTTTTAGGCCCTATTACTTGTATAGTTCGTGCTAACATATTTTACACGTTAGTGGTTCGATGTTAACAACACAAACGTCAATTTCATAAAATTAAATTTAGAAAGTTTTCAACAAATAACAAAATCTATAAAGGCAATAACACACAGGTGTATAAGGAATTGCAAATATGTCACGATTACAATGTCGGGTGATTAGTGGAGAAATTTTTAAACACTTTCCCAACAGATTCACCTACTGGTCATGTTAATCGCCTTCTATTGCTGGTCTATTTACAATATTGAAACCAAGCTTAATCTATTAAAGTTTACAGACGTGCCTCCCACTATATTGTATCCTAATACTTAAATACAGGGTTTAATATTGTGTTTTGCTTACGTTTTAGTATATTTTGAGGACCGTGGGTAGTAGTATATTTTATTTTATCTTAAGAGGGACTAAAGTATATCACTAGGCACAATAACTCACCGCATTGTCAGTTTACCTTTCATATTTCCTCCAAAATAAGTAATCATCGGAGATATTCGGAGATATTTTTTTTAATTCATTTACACCCATACATTTTTCCTCAGTTGTCAATTTATTTACACCTCGAATCATTCAAATTGTGTTAATAAAGCATCTTTATGACTTTATATATGTTAATGTTTCTGTGACACCCAGCTAACAATAACGCCAATAGTAGGTCTGTAAGTCTCTGTACTATTGGCGTGTATTGTTAGCTTGATGTCTTGGATAAAGTCTGTGTTGTTAGGACACGTCAAGCTAACAATACACGGCAATAGTAGGTCTATAAGTCTCTGTTACACGAGACGTTAAGCTATCAATACACTGAGTAAGTCTGTTGTGACGAGTTATTAGAACGCTAATGTGTTTGGCGGTTGTTTACACTGGTAATTTGAAGCGCCCTAGTATCTGTACTGTATATCTTTTGACTTAGTTCTTCTTTTTCTTTTCACAGGTACGTAGCTACGACCTCGCCTTCCCCATTGACAGGTACAGACGGCCATCTAAGCTCGGTGTTTGGAATTCTCCGCGAGATATCAACAATAACCGCACGGTCTATATCCCTGTGAGCACAGAGCGATATTTGTGACAATTTAAAGTCTACTCAAGGAATTTCGGGTTTCGTTTTGTAAGGTAACACACACTAGGTGACAATCACACGGAGTTGTCAGTTTCTACTCGCCGCTCACCGACAGTCAGAGTTACACGGATTTCCCTCAGATCCAGCTTACATTGAATGGCGAAACGTCCGACTGTATAATTAAGGGACCAGCTGAAAAGGTCGGATGTTCATCATTTGTTACGCCTCGCTGGACACGACACGTTTTATCTACCTGAAAATTCATATTTCGTAGATCAAAGAAACCTCTATTTAAAGGACAGTCGCTGGTCCAGTGAACATTTGTGTTAAAAAGAAGAAACGTTCTGTTAAAGGATTTGTTAACCAATATGGCGGCTCCGTACGGCTTTGGCCTAGCCGTGTTGGTGTGTTGGGGAGTTCTGACCGCCGTGTCGGGTGACAACAGCTGTGTTTCTAAGGGTCAGTTGTACACACGACTGCCATGGTATGGCTATTTGGTCCAGAAGACGTTCCACCCTAACAACGCGAAGATAGAGTACCAAATATCTTACCCGGTGAGTGAAGGCACCGCTAATTTACTCATCTATTACGACGACCAGGTACGGAAGCTTAAAGACGAAATGTCCTGTATCGAACGAGAAAAAATCCTTCCCGTCAAAAATAATCAAATCATTCCGCTGAACGAGACCGGGAGATGCACTGTTTGGCGCGACAGTGGCGAGCCCCTGTACGTCTGTGTGGGAGAACGCGTGTTCAATTCAAGCTTTCCCAGGACGTGGTATTTTGCTGTGAGTAAATGCTCTATGAACGGGTCCCAGTCTTTGAACATGAACTACTACTTCAATGTCACAGGATATTATGGTGCGTGTGAGGTTGACCCGTTATCAAAAACAATCATTCCAGCACGTGTTGAAGTTGAACCGGACGTCAGTGTCATTGTTGCGCTTGGAGTTGTCTGTGGTGTGACTACAATAGTTGCAATAGTTTTTATTATACTGTTTTTTCTTGGCCGAAGACGGCGTAAAAATAAGAAGGGTGGCTCTGTGACGTCATCACAGGCTACTATGACGCAGGACATATTTTACGTGAACCCGTCATTATCAGACCGTGAACATTCCGACTCTCAATATAGTCACAGTCAGTCCAGTGGGTCGGAGAACTACTACGAGGTGATCCCCGACCGCAGGAGTTACGAAAGTATAAACACACAGCTTGCGCTCCAAGGACACAATATCCGGGGACTTAACCTGAACGCAGCGCATCTAAAGGACCAGAGGAACTCGAACATCCCCGCCTATATCCTCGAGGATTACCCTCCGCCGCCGTACCAACCTCCACGGGGGCTTCATAACATTCACGCTACCATGCCAAGTGGTGTACACCATCGGCAATCAAGTGCGAACGCCATTCTCCAGGGCGGGATAAGTCACTATGCGTCACGTGCTGGTACCCTGTCTGTCCCCAACAGTCACATGACTTCTGGGGGGCGACCATCTATTCAACAACTCGCCGCCAGTGGCATGCACCCAATGTACCGACAACATCGCCCAGTTCAGCCAACTCAGACCGAGGCTGACGTAGATACACACACTGCGCAGAAGCAGTTGGTCAGTGCGGGGGTTAACAGAGTGAATGGTACTCCAGTTCACTCTGACATTATTCAACAAGCTCTGAACAGGCAGCCACTGGTTCACGCTACGAGCCAAGCGAGCCCTGTGCAGAGTTCACCTCAGTCACGTACGAGTGACGTACCGATGACGTCCGATAGTGCCACTCAGCCAATGACGTCATTCCCGAGTGGCGTGCCATCCTCAAGCACTCAAACGACACCGATACAAAATTCAAACTTTGTCAGACAGCTGACAAACAGTGGCGCAAAGTCAAACCAGCAAAACATTCAGCTTCAAACATACGGGCAATCTAAGCACCAACCACAAGGAAGCGGAAGTGCTAATGGTAACATTCCAAACGGAGGACGGACGCCACAATATCCGAACAGTAATGTAGCCAAGTTACTACACGATGCCTACCGGATTCAACAGTTTGAAACAACGGCGTAACATTGGTTATGTTAATGACGTCATCATATTTGGTTAAAATCGTGATGTTATATTTTCATTGGACGCGTTGACGTTCTAGCTCAAAGTGTGCATTCTTAAAGGAGGAATTAATCTTTCGTCTCAACATCGAGGAATTCCATGGTAACAGAAGTGAGGTATAACGATGAATTCAGCTTGTTTCTGTATGTCACTCCATACAGAGAAAGACTGCGCATGCGTCTTTTACAAGTTGACGACATTACGTCATTCCATCAACTGGTTATTTTGTACCCGTATAAGACCGATAACTCGTTTTATACGAGGTGATAGTTGACGGGTTGGTAATTGGCTGATACCTGAGACCGGAGAACTAGCATTGTTTTGAATGTTTTGAAGCATGGTACCTCTACAGATAAAGTGAACTGGTAACGCAACACTTCACGAGGAGGAAAACAATTAATTTTAAAATAGGATGCTCACGGAATCAATTATGACGATAGAAGTCTGATATTAAATCTGTGACTACAACAAACACTTACTGTGCAATCATTTTATCTTAGTTACGTCCTATAGAATTCCTATTGACTATTCACTGCGGGACTGCAATTCAAAAAGTCGCGTCCCCGTGCAGTGTGGGTAATTCATGGCAATATTGAGGTGTAATTGTTCTGGAACTTCCATGCGCCTCCTTCCCTAATTATTTATCCGGAGTCGTGACGTCATCGTATTGTGTGTACTTGTGTGTGTACCTAGTGTATGTTGTGGTGTAATCAAGAGAATGGGGTGAGAGGTCATTAGTGTGAAAGTTTTGTTTTAAGATTTAAAATCTGTTTCAAAAATTGTAAGGTTCAAAAATAGTCATGTCTTGTTAAGGATGCGAGTCCTTTCATTTGTTACTGTGTACAGACATTAAGGTAGAGAGCCCCGCCAATTTTCTAATTAAGACTTAAATGATCATGTTACAGTGGTATTTCCACTATCTTACTATAATATTATAAGTTGTGGCCCTTTTAATGGGGTAAAACCATTTTGAAAAAAAATGTCTAAATAAAACAAACAGCGCAGACAATAAACTACCTGCTTAATTAGCAAGAATTTAGGGGATCGAATCCCCGTGGCGCATATTTGCAAAAAAGGGAAATAACTATGAATACATATCTTGCAAAAAACTTCTTTTATAAAGGGTGGAGGCGACTTCAGACAGAATGCCGAATAGTAACCCTGTTCGTACGGGGATACTACACTGAGTCTACTTTAACTTATAGGATTCGTTATCAGCTATGTATTCTGATCTGTGTTTATAAAATGTAAGTGCATGTAGGTTACTAACAACCCCGTGTTAATGAGGTCAATTTGGACCAGATTATTCTGTAAAGTTAAAATTTGTAGTCCTTTTTTTCTTCATAAGCAATGTTAGACCGATACTTCTGTCAAGTGGAGTACCGTTAATTCTCATTGCTGTTCGGGATCTATTTAACTATTTATTTTCTCGAAAACAATTTCTTCTTTTTAACGAGTTTCCACTTTTAAGTCAGTGGGGCAAATTTAAAAATTTCAGAACAGTGATATGCGAATTTTGATTTCGGCAATTCGGGGAAAAACTTGAAGTGATAAGCTATGGAATACTGATGAAGTGGCAGCTGGAGTGACCTCCCTTGAATTCCGGAAATAAATGACGCCTGGTCCATTTAAAATAAGGAGACATTTACAAGATAAAATAAATAAAAAGAAATATTACGCCTGGCGGCAAACAAAGGCGGTTTATCTTGCCTTACAATGCCAGCCACTCTCTCGGTACAACATGCAAGTTATTAATGTCAAATCGATAGCGAAGCGCTGCTTTCGACACGTGCTAACCAAAGTTTTCTCAGTATTCGATCAAATTCTCCTCAGTTGGCAAAATATACCGCTGTAAACTTGCTAAGTTTACATTTGGGAGTTATTTCGCCACAGAAATCGTCAATATAGATGGTTTAACACAAATATAAAGTGATGTTGCCATGGCAACCGGTTAAGTTATTGTAAAACATGTGGAGGGCGGGTTTTAGTGTATACACACTCTGGAATGAAGCGTTTGAATTCGGCGTAAAGTGTCAATCATTTCTATATTGATATGAAATACCCGATCGTTTACTGTGTCTTAAACATTAAATGTGCGTTACATGTTATCTTACAAAGGTCTCCGGGAAATAAACGGAAAAGGGCACACCTTAGATATTGTTTGAAGTGTAAAACTTTATTCATCGATTTTAGTTTAAATTCTATATTATTGTCAATAAACAACAGCTGTACAATTAATACATCAATACGATGATATACAAGCATCACTTATTTTAACCGACTCCTTAGTTTCACGAAGATAGGGCAGGTCGGAACTGCCACGTTTAATATTCCATAGAATTTGTAGAGGGAAGGGAAATGAAAACAAAGAATGTCGCGATTTTTAAACTTGATATAATAAAAAAAAAAATCAATCTACATCAAATCATTAACTTTACATAAATATGTTTAACTTTTTTTATTGTTATAACATTTTGTATTTTAAACATATTTTCCTATTCCTAGGAGTATCTGTAATAATGGTCTGAATATCGGACAAGCCAAGGGTCACTAGTTATGTTAATGACGTAATGACGTGATACAATACCACTCTTTATGTTATGACGTCATGACGTGATATAATACAACTAGTTATGTTATGACGTCATGACGTGATATAATACTGCTAGTTATGTTATGACGTCATGACGTAATATTATACCACTAGTTATGTTAATGACGTCATGACGTGATATAATACCACTAGTGATTTAATGACGTCATGACGTGACATAATACTACAATTTATATCTGTATAACAATGATAGTTTCAATTTAACACTCGATACATCAATTGCATTTCTTACACATTTTTTCCTTTCATTTTTAAGAAGTAAACGAATCGTTGTTATTTTCAGCAAAGTATTTCGAAATTTAAAATGGAAATCATGCTGTACATTTAGATATGATCTTATATCGCTGGGTTAAGTAGTAACAATATGTTAAGTAACGTTTTAAATCAATTGAAACGTTAGTGTTTAATTCATTGTTTTAATATTTGACATACCAAACAAATGCTGTCTTTGTATTACCGAATTAGATTATGATCAACATCTGTAAACTAATATGATTATTTCATTTTCTAACAGTTATTACTTGAAATTTGTTAAAACGACTAGTTTAACGTTTGTTTATGTTTCTGTGTGGAGGAGTGAGTCCTGTTATCGTTGTTATTGATCAGTGTCAAATATACAATTATTAGATGATTGTAAGTATATATATATCTATAACGGGAGGTACATTTTAACATAGACTGGATTATCTGCCTTAGTTCCATTTCTCTCCGCTAGTCTGCGCTCTTTTGAAACACAGCCGGGTGGAGAGTAGAGAAACTAATTCAGGCAATTTAGTGTGATTTTAACATTATTAATACATGTTAGTTAGAAACTACGGCTGGTCCGGTCTTTGTTGAGACTATCGTGTGTTTTATTGTAAACACACTGTTTACTTTTACAGAGATGTATTATGACATAACAGCATTAAGGGTATATGCTACCCTATGTGTGGCATTTACAAAATTATCCCAAACAGAGATTAATGTAAACAAAATTATCCCTTCCCAAACAGAGATTAATGTAAACAAAATTATCCTGTTTAGAATGTTTTTAATCTAAATGAAATATTATTTTACAACAGAGTTATAAAACGATTCGGAAATATGCAAATCGATATCCTGGTCAAGCTTATTCCGTCTTTGCGTATTGCAGAGTTATTTTTATCTTCGGAGCAGGTATTGATTGTTACGTCACTTGTTTGTAAGAGTAACGTCATCAATTTTTGAGAAAACGACGTAATTTTCTCGCACAAACCAATGACGTAACAATCAATACCTGCTCCCAAGAGAAGATAACTCTGCAATACGCAAAGACGGAATAACTTCCTCTTCCGTAAATTGTAACTTCCGGTTTTGTATAATTGTAACTTCCGGTTCTGTAGTATCTGCTGTTTAATCTGTGACTTATTCTATTGAAAAAATAAAAAAGTATACTGTGAAAAGAGCCAAGAATTTTACAAAACATGTAACGTTTCTACGGAGAACAGACCAGTTAGTAGCATGTTTCTGACATTTTCGGCTGCGTGTAAATCTCGTGAGATTATACGAGATCGTACATTCGGCTTTCCCACATCATTGCCAACATTCTTGCAATTTGCAAAAACAATATGTAACAATAAACTATAAAAAAATAAAACTAAGTTATGTGTTTGTTGTTTATGCCTCTTTACTCAACACAATAGCGACAAGCAGGGCTTGTTTGTTTACAAGTTTACTTCGATCGTACGAAAACCGTTATTCATAGAGGATAGGGTCAATCAAATGATGGACCACTCAGTGGATTGGGGTCACTCAGAGGATGGGGCCACTCAAAGGATAGGGCCACTCAGAGGATTGGGGTCACTCAGAGGATGGGGCCACTCCAAGGATAGGCCCACTCAGATAATTGGGGTCACTCAGAGGATTGCCCACTCAGAGGAGTGGGCCAATCAAAGGATGGGCCACTCAGTGGATTGGGGTCACTCAGAGGATGGGGTCACTCAAAGGATTGCCCACTCAGATAATTGGGGTCACTCAGAGGATTGCCCACTCAGAGGATGGGGCCACTCAGTGGATTGGGGTCACTCAGAGAATTGCCCACTCAGAGGATGGGGTCACTCAAAGGATGGGCCACTCAGTGGATTGGGGTTACTCAGAGGATGGGGCCACTCAAAGGATAGGGCCACTCGCAGATGATTGGGGTCACTCAGAAAATGGGGAAACACAGGATGGGGTCACTCAAAGGATTGCCCACTCAGATAATTGGGGTCGCTCAGAGGATTGCCCACTCAGAGGATGGGGGCAATCAAAGGATTTCCCACTCAGATAATTGGGGTCACTCAGAGGATTGTCCACTCAGAGGATGGGGCCAATCAAAGGATTTCCCACTCAGATAATTGGGGTCACTCAAAGGATAGGACCACTCAGAGGATGGGGCCACTCAAAGGATAGGGCCATTCAGAGGATGGGGCCACTCAAAGGATAAGGCCACTTAGAGGATGGGGCCACTCAGAGGATTAGGGTCACTCTGAGGATGGGGCCACTCAGATGATGGGGCCACTCAAAGGACAGGACAGCTCCGAGGACGGAGCTACTCAAAGGATAGGGTAACTCAGAGGATGGGGCCACTCAGAGGATAAGGGTCACCCAGAGGATGGGGCCACTCAGAGGATGGGGCCACTCAAATGATAGGGCAGCTCCGAGGATGGGACCACTCAGAGGATTGGGGTCACCCAGAGGATGAGGCCACTCAGAAGATGGGTCCATGCAGAGGATATGGTCACTCAGAGGATGGGGCCACACAGAGGATTGGGGTCACTCAGAGGATATGGTCACTCAGAGGATATGGTCACTTAGAGGATATGGTCACTCAGAGGATGGGGCCACACAGAAGATATGGTCACTCAGAGGATATGGTCACTCAGAGGATATGGTCACTTAGAGGATAGGGTCACTCAGAGGATGGGGCCACACAGAGGATTGGGGTCACTCAGAGGATTTGGGTCACTCAGAGGATTGGGTCACTCAGAGGATGGGGCCACTCAGATGATGGGGCCACTCAAAGGACAGGACAGCTCCGAGGATGGGGCTACTCAAAGGATAGGGTCGCTCAGAGGATGGGGCCACTCAGAGGATAAGGGTCACTCTGAGGATGGGGCCACTCAGATGATGGGGCCACTCAAAGGCCAGGACAGCTCCGAGGATGGGGCTACTCAAAGGATAGGGTCACTCAGAGGATGGGGCCCCTCAGAGGATAAGGGTCACCCAGAGGATGGGGCCACTCAAATGATAGGGCAGCTCCGAGGATGGGGCCACTCAAATGATAGGGCCACTCAGAGGATAGGGCCACTCAGAGGATTAAGGTCACTCTGAGGATGGGGCCACTCAGATGATGGGGCCACTCAAAGGACAGGACAGCTCAGAGGATGGGGCTACTCAAAGGATAGGGTCACTCAGAGGATGGGGCCACTCAGAGGATTGGGTCACTCAGAGGATGGGGCCACTCAGATGATGGGGCCACTCAAATGACAGGACAGCTCCGAGGATGGGGCTACTCAAAGGATAGGGTCGCTCAGAGGATGGGGCCACTCAGAGGATAAGGGTCACTCTGAGGATGGGGCCACTCAGATGATGGGGCCACTCAAATGACAGGACAGCTCCGAGGATGGGGCTACTCAAAGGATAGGGTCGCTCAGAGGATGGGGCCACTCAGAGGATAAGGGTCACTCTGAGGATGGGGCCACTCAGATGATGGGGCCACTCAAAGGACAGGACAGCTCAGAGGATGGGGCTACTCAAAGGATAGGGTCACTCAGAGGATGGGGCCCCTCAGAGGATAAGGGTCACCCAGAGGATGGGGCCACTCAAATGATAGGGCAGCTCCGAGGATGGGGCCACTCAAATGATAGGGCCACTCAGAGGATGGGGCCACTCAGAGGATTAGGGTCACTCTTGAGGATGGGGCCACTCAGATGATGTGGCCACTCAAAGGACAGGACAGCTCCGAGGATGGGGCTACTCAAAGGATAGGGTCACTCAGAGGATGGGGCCACTCAGAGGATGGGGCCACTCAAATCAAATGATAGGGCAGCTCCGAGGATGGGGCCACTCAAATGATGTGGCCACTCAGAGGTGTGGGTCACTCAGAGGATTGGGGTCACTCAGAGGATGTGGCCATTCAGAAGATGGGTCCACGCAGAGGATATGGTCACTCAGAGGATATGGCCACTCAGAGGATGGGGCCACACAGAGGGTATGGTCACTCAGAGGATATGGTCACTCAGATGATATGGTCACTCAGAGGATGGGGCCACACAGAGAATTGGGGTCACTCAGAGGATATGGTCACTCAGATGATATGGTCACTCAGAGGATGGGGCCTCACAGAGGATATGGTCACTCAGAGGATGGGGCCACACAGAGGATTGGGGTCACTCAGAGGATATGATCACTTAGAGGATATGGTCACTCAGAGGATGGGGCCACACAGAGGATATGGTCACTCAGAGGATATGGTCACTCAGAGGATATGGTCACTCAGAGGATGGGGCCACACAGAGGATTGGGGTCACTCAGAGGATATGATCACTTAGAGGATATGGTCACTCAGAGGATGGGGCCACACAGAGGATATGGTCACTCAGAGGATATGGTCACTCAGAGGATATGGTCACTCAGAGGATGGGGCCACACAGAGGATTTGGTTCACTCAGAGGATATGATCACTTAGAGGATATGGTCACTCAGAGGATGGGGCCACACAGAGGATATGGTCACTCAGAGGATATGGTCACTCAGAGGATATGGTCACTCAGAGGATGGGGCCACACAAAGGATTGGGGTCACGCA